AGGAGGTAAAGTGATAAACACTAAATCCTTAAATTCCCTAAATTTTTTTATTACAAAGTTTTTTAAGGATACAAAAAAATTTTCTAGTGAGAACTACACTATAGAGCTAAAGGACAGAAATTACCAAAACAAGCTTAATATAATCCCCCTCCATAATTCTTCATTAATGATGTTTTGAGAATTTTAGTACAAGACTATACTCTTTTTGGCTATTTGTATTGAAAAATATTAATCTCAAACAAAAATATTAATTCTTATTATATAAATTCAAAAAGAAAAATAATTTGCAAGTCATTTTTCTAAATTTTTTAGAAGATAAATTTAAAAACTTATCTTTAATTAATATTTTAAAAAATTAACATTGGATTGAAAGTTTTATTCAAGATCATGCATACAATTTTTTAAATTATTTTATTAGGTTTAACTATTTTATTAGTTATAAAAAATTTAACACTACTAAATATATACCAGTAAATCAAGATTTTTTTATTAAAAGATCATATATGTTAGATCAATATAAAAATTGATACGTACGATTTATATGAATAAAAATTTTAATCTAACAATTAATTTTTGAAAATATTAATTAGAAAGTGAGTTTCTAAATTAATTCTCTAAAAAATTTTTAAAAGAACCACGTGTTCTCTACTATTTTCAATCTAAAATGATGCTCCTAAAGAAGTGGTTTAACTTGTCTATGATTGTAATTTTAAAATCTTAATTTCAAAATTTAAATTAGGTGAGAAGAAATTTAAAAAAAGAAAATAACTATTTTCTCTTAAAAAAATATAAATAAAATAACAAGAGGCTGGTTTGGTTAGAGACAATGTTTTTCTCTCCATTTTATTGAATACTCTTAGAAACAAAAACCTAACCCTTAACTTAGTATGGATTGATTGGATTGCCTTCCTTTTCCTAGGATGGAATTAGAAGGCTAAAAGGGTTAGTGCATTTTTTATGAAAAAATAATATTTTTTTGGCTTATTTAATCAAAAGAAGATAACTTGAGGGCTTACTTGAAAAACAATGTAAAAGTTAAAGGACAAAGATTTTTGTTTGTTTTCTTTGAAGGGCATAGATTAATCCGGACCCTTCGACTGGGTACCAGATATTTTCCAGAAAAAACTGCCTACAGGCTTCGGGAGAAAAGGGAATATGTCAAAATCTTAGAAGATTGGCAGCCATTAAGATTTCACGGAAAAGGAGGGATACTCCACTTTTATTCTCTCTTATTTATTTTTTTAATCAAAAGCACTATTTATTACTATTATAATTTTATAAAGAAAAGAATGATGATCAGTACTAATTTTTAAAAATAATTAGAATATGAATATTAAATTATTTTATTTTATTTTATTAAAATTTAATTTAAAATTTAAAAATTTATCTTATAAATATTAATACATTAAAATATATAATGAGTTTTTAAATTTAAATATCAATATTTAATATAATAAAATTTTATTTATTTTTTATAATCAATACTGATATACATTAATTTTATTTTATAATTATAATATCACGTAGAGTCAATTATAATATATCATTTAATAAGTATATATAAAATTTTAAATAAAATAATTAATTATATAATATTATAATTATATACTTATAATAGTATTTAATATTATATTATTTTCACTCATATGATAAAAAATGATTTTTGGCAATGATTTACACGTCATTTTTGACATTTGAGTAAATTATTAATGAAGACTTCGTAAAATTACGTTGTAATATTTTATTATTAATAAATGTTATCAGTAAATCATTGCATTTTAATTCTTTATTTTTTAAGTTGCACGGTGATATATATTTACATATAATTAACCATCTTTTATCCCTACATTCCCCTTACTTGTGATAAAAACTTAAACTCAAAACACCTACCCTAAGGGATCAACATGAGTTTATTTTCTCATTTCTATAGTATATCTAATAATAATAAGATAGACTTTTTTTGTTGTGTAGACCAATGCAACTTGAACTATACCATAATTTTTACTAGTAAGATATATGATTAAGAGATAATTTTGCTTATCTCAATTTATACTTGAAACCTTTCTTTTTCATAGTTGGAAAGCTATAATTAATTTAGTCACCAAAACATCAAAGCACTACATTTATTAATTAGGTGCAACCAGGAGTCTTATGTTTTGTCAATATATCTACTCTACTTAGCAAAACATATACAAAAAATACAACCAATTTGCGTATGTTAGCATGCATATATGGCTGGTGGTATTTTGGGGTAAGTTTACTCCTTTGTTTTTTTTCCTTGCCAGACCATTTTTCATTTTATCAAAGGGGAGGAGAGGGAAGGTAAATGGATAATTAAGACTAGAACTTAGAATCACTCATGGTCTATTTATTGGTTTAAAAGAATGAAAGATAATTTCATCCAATTAAATTAAAATATATTGATTAAACGAAATTAAATTATCTTTCTTCCGTTTCTCTCAAACCGAATAGATTCTTAAATTTCAGTATAGTCCACTACTAATAGAAGGTGACATTGACAACAAAATAAAAATAATTAAAGAGAAAGCATCAAAGTCATTTTTGATTTATTTGTAGATCAGAGATGGACATTTGTGACTCCTTTATTCTTATTCACAAAATTGAAGAATATAAGTGCGTATGCAAGGTATTTTATATATGTAAAATGTTATAAGATGCATGCATGAACCCTCCACAACCACTCCTCTGTGTAATTAAAAAGGTAAGACTTTGCATCTCTTATACCCTTAATTTGTATTCATTTACAACTAAAAGTAAGCATAAATCATAATTAATATATGTGTGCAATAAGTCAAACTAAAAGAAAAAGAATATATGCAGTTGAGTTCATATTAATTAATGAATAAAATATGAGAATAATATGTACAAGTCCTAATTCTCTTTTTTGCTTTTATCTTAAATAATATGATACTCCTATAGCCATTCAATTTTTTTAAAAAATAATAATAACATTTAGGTGTTAAGATGTCAAAAACACCCCAATTAATAAAGTAACATAAAACACCATGTCTTGAATTAGATTGAAAATTTGAGAAAGTGCTACGTGGGACTCTAAAAAATAAATAAATTGAGAGTCATGACCATAAATGATACACATTATTCTCCTAAAACATATAGTGTAAATTTTTAATATTATATATATATATATATAAGCGGTACTTTACAGTAGGAAATAATGTTACAAATATGTCGTCAATGTTCGAAATTCAAATTGTTGTAAAAAGAATCTTCAAAGTGCAAATTAAAGTGCAAATTGTAGTGAAATAGATAGTGATTTGTATATATTTCAATTCAATATATTACACAGCATATTTATTAAAAAATTACTATTTTATGATTTAAAATTAAAAACAAATAAATTTAAAAATACAATTATACACACAAAATGTAAGAATTAGTTAAATTAATTGTATTTATATGATATTTTTAATAATTAAACCAAAAATATGTCAAAAAATATATTAAATCGAGTGTGTATAGATCATTTTTCCA